CCAGGCTTCTTGGCGATGAAGATGGCGTTGCCATGAAATTGTCGCCATCGAAAAGGTTCTCGTGGATGGAATTCATCAATCCATTGTTCAAGATCGGCGAGTTCTGGAAGTTGGTCAGGTCGTCCTTTCTGGTTGTCGACCCATTCTTGGACAATGCCGTCCACGATGGCCTTGACGAGTGCAGGTGGGTATTCTTGCGCTCTCAAAGGAAGACCTCCCACCAAATGCTCATGAGGTTGAGGGCCACGCATTGGCATAGCTTCTGGAGGTTGGTGGCAATCTGATCGCACGTGGTTGCGAACAGTGTTGACTTCTTGTTGAGCTTGTCATCGTGGCCCACCTTGAGTCCAAATCGACATTGGTCACCCTTCACGAGGATCACCTGGTCGTTGTTGACATAGTTCCGGACGGATGGAAGATCCCATGACTTGGCCGTCCGGGGATGTTCATGAAGGCCATGCGCTCCTCGATCAAGTTGTTCGCCAAGCATCTCCATGGAAAAGTCCACGTGGTCAGTGGCTTCAGCAATTTCCTCTTCCCAATTGTCCCAATTGGTCCTGAGGTGCTGCATGGTGGAGAACTTGGTGCATGGTGGAGATGTCACCAGCAGTCGAGGTTTTCTTTTTCGAATCTCTTCTCGCACGCGGTCTTTGTCAGCCGCCAGCCGCAAGTCGTAGCCAGTCACCAGGTCGATGGACAGGCTTGCTCGCAAACCGCGAGCTCTTGCAGCTTCCACCACTCTTGGTGGACTATAGAGCTCAACAATCATGTCATCATCGTTCTGGAGGCCACCGAAGATCTCCACAACGTCATCTGTCCCTTCGGTAGTGTCCCACATCTCCCAAAAGGTCGCCTGCTCGCCCAACATGCTGTCCAAGCTGTTGTTGAGCTCCGTCTTCACATCTTTGGTCATGGTCAGCTCATTCTCAAATGGAGCTTCCTTCAGGTAGTCGATGAAGTCGGGCATGAACTCATACAAGACGGTGTAGCAGGTCGGCTCATCCATCCCGAAGACATAGGGCTCACCTGGGACTGTGGTGCAATGAACTGCATTCCAGTCATCATCGCCATTCCGGACCAAAATGATCCGTCGGCTACAAATCGGCCAGGTGGCCACAGGATGTACTCCAGGTACACAATCACCACATCCGGTGGCTACATAAGTCCTGGGGACATCTACCTCCAAGGTGTTCAGAAGGTCGTCGAAGTTCTCCTCATAGTTCATCCGGTCCCGGATGTTATCCAACCAGCCGCTCAGCGGTGCAGTGCGTTCACGTTGAACTTCCCCATCTGGGAGTAGCAGAGAGGCATCTCGAACTGGAAGGACTGCAGACTGCATGGTTCGTGGGCGCACTGCAGTTCGATGTCCTGAGGGTCGGTGGCATCGTTGATCATCAGCATCTCGCCCATGTTGCATCTCGGGCACAGCATCACTCCGTAGGCAGGTGCGATCTCCTCCTGCACCTGGTGCCAGGCCAAAGGGCATGCTCGGTTGTCGCACTTCCAGAGGAGTCCCATCGTCGGTCGATGGCGATGTAGGGTCAGTTCGCCCTGGTGACATCGGTCGCAGCTCTGGATGTGCGGCGGATCGGTCGCTCCTTGAAGATCCATCTCCGCGTCCCCGATGAAGTGGGCCTGCTCGAGAATGTCGTTCGCTACCACATCGCACCATGAATCCTCTTGATGAGGTCTCCTCACATCCGGCACCTCGTCGCCGAACTCCATCTTCACAGAGGGTGGTGCTTTCCGAGCAGTCATCCTTTGAGCCATATTGCCGATGTCGTTGTACTTGATCGGGCCATCGAAGCTGTCCGTGATCGGCTCTTTGGCATACTCCCCAACGCGGTAGGTGGAGTGGATGGAGACTCTTCGACCTTCTCGGACTTCACGTTCTTCTGAGCCTTCTTCTTCTTGCTCTCGTAGAAGGGATCTGGCACAAAGATCAGGCTGTTGTTCCAGACGTGGAGCTCCGTGATGGCCGTGAGTGGCATCTCCTGCTTCTGGAGGCACTTCTGGCATTGATGCCATGTGAGATGTCGATTCGCTCCATGTTTCGTCTCCAAATGTTGGCAATCGACCGCGGGCTCGAGCTCCGGCACAAGGTAGCGGCCCTTCCCTTTCACACATGCCCTGGGGCGTACTCGATCTTCGTCCAGATGATGGTGAAGGGGTCCTTGTGGCATCGAGCTGGATGAAGCTGCTGCCTGAGCCATGATGGACTGTTCTTTCTGGGCGATCTGCAAGGCTTCCTGCTCCAGGCGTTCTCGTCGGGCTTGAAGTTGTCGTGCCTCCCGGAGCTGTGGTGTTCTGATCGCCTGCATGAAGTCCTGCCATCCTCTCAGGAAATTCCAGGCAGACAGCCGCAGCAACAAGCGTCGCCAGCAGTGGAGCCATCGCTGGCGCATTACGACCGAGCGAGGGCGTCGTGCCGGTCCAAGGCAGTGGCTCTCGAGACCACGCTGAACTGCGGGTTTGAGGAAAGTCAACTGGCACATTGTAGCCATCTCCAAACTCGATGATCGAGACCGCGACGTGCCCGGTATGGAGTCGGTGCATGGTTTGTTTGCAACCCAGTGACATGTACATGATCATGCAATTCTTCATGTCGATGATGGCACCCAAATCACTCAAGAAATATGCTGGTAGTAGAAAGGGGATGTCACCGGGAACCACTTGGCATCTCAACACACCTGACTTTCCAGAAAGGCCGATGGGGACGTAAACGATGTGGGTCTTCTCCTCCTTACCACAAACACCACGAACACTACCTCCGGCTTCGGTGGACCACTGCACTTTCAACCCAAAACGTTCTTGTAAAAGACGATCATGAGCTTGTAGGGTTTCCAATCCAACCAGGCCATGTTGTGCAGCTGTGTCCACCAAGGCCGTTCCATCGGCTCCGTTGGTGCCCAAAAACACGAACGAAAGTCCGGAAAACCCGCTCCCACCCACAAAGCTGCATGGCATGTATTCCAACTGCTCTGAAGTCTCAAAGAAGTGGCCTGATTCAGCCAACTTTGGGGGTTCCATGAAAAAGCCAGCAGAGCTTCTCGGAGGTGGCGAGAGCGGTTTCCTCTGCGGACACTCTTTTGACCAATGCCCAATCTGACGGCACTGGTGGCATCTGCTTTTGGCCTTCAACTCGGCCAAAGAAAGTCGGCTACCGGAGCGCTGGTGCCATGGTGACGATGGCTTGTCAAAGCCGCGGCCATTCCTCGTCGCTTGGAGCATGCGACGATGTTCCATGTAGCCTCCTTTGCCGTGGCCAGGAGTGCCCATGCCGAAGGTCTTGGAATGATTCTTTCCTTTGCCCTTCTTGCCTTTGCCTTTGCCCTTGTGCACATGTCGATGTGCCTCAAAGAAAACATCTTCCATCTGCAAGCCCATCATCTCGAGGGCTTCTGACTCTTCCATGACGGCTGGAAGCTCATAAGCGAAGATCATTTGAACTTCCTCTGACTCATTCAAGCAGATCAGGTTGTCCAGAATGCCGTCATCCTCATAGGGGTCGGTCGCAAAGGTGTCAGGGTCAAAGTCCATGTCCTCATCTTCAATGCCATCATCACCTTCCCAGAAGGTGTTGCTTCTCCAACGCCTCGGGGTGTGGTGCTGTTCAACATGTTGTTCATCAAGGCGATCACCAAAGATCTTTTGAACTGCTTTCTCAATCTCTTTGTAGTCAATGCTTCCATTGGTGACCACCTTGAGTCTCTGCCGTTGGTCTTGGGTGAAGGCTCCTTGACGAAGGATCAGATGTCCAAGTAGGTGGCGGCCTGCAGTCGAGGTCAAAAGGTCAAGACCCTGCTTCTTCAGTTCTGCAAATGCCGCCTTCTTGCCAGTCAAAAAAGTCGTCAATGACTGGCCTCTCTCCCTTCTCCCACGGAATATCGCGTCGTCGAACGCTTGCTCCAGCCTCTGGTCCTTCAAAAACTCGTGGGAGTCCTCAATCAACTTCAAGATGATCCGGTGACCTTGGTCACTGCAAATCTCTTCGATGGAGAGGTGTGCAAGCATAGCTCCAAGTTTCGATCCAATGGGGATGCTGTCAATCATCCTCTTGCCGATGAGGTTCATGGGCAATCGAGCTTCAGCTTCAATCAACCACAGTTGAAGGTTGCGATGAAATTCACGATATTGCTTCTCGGGGTTCTCACCTCCCCAAGACGGGGCCGGGTCCAGCTTGTAGTCAAAGAACTTCCGTGGTGGCTCACGGCCGGAACCCGTAGGTGAGGATGAAGCTCGTGCCACCTCTTGGCCAGCAGACCATGGATCTTGCCCTTGAAGGGGATCAGGTTCGACGGGGTCAAATACTCCCGAACGCTGTTGATGTCCAGGAGAAAGGTTCACGGGCATAGTGACAGGCGTTGGCGTAGTAGGGGCATGGGCCGCAGCAGCTCCTGAAGTCGCCATTGAGGGACTCGAGGGGGATGCTGCTGGCATACTCGTTGATGTAGCTCCAGTGCCCTTCCAAGTCCTTTGATTTGGCCTCGCAGCCATATTCAGCCAAGTCACTTGCCCAAATCAAGCAAAGAAACACTCCCAGCGGCGCCAGCTGGTAATCGAAGGGCTCAAAAAGGAGAATCGCCAAATAGGCTAAGAAGTAGAAAAGCGAGCTCCCGGACGTGGTGTCCGTTTCACGAAAAGGTCGGCCAACAGGCCAAGGTGTCCAGCGCCGGGGCGTCCCCCGGCAGTCCACACACCACGTCGCGGGAGCCCCGGTCGTCACCGGGGCTCCGCTACCATGTAAAAGCGCAGCGGATGCAAGAACGAAACGCCTTTTTCCAGGCGCTCAAGGGCCCTTCGACCCAGCAACGGCGTCGGGTAAAAGCCGTGAACCGCAAGTGCAACCAGTGACATGAGCATGGATGACATGACTTTCTCACTCCCAAAACAAAGACCTCAAACAAACCTCGCAAAACAACAGGCCCTGAGAACTTGCCATGCTGAATTCAGTCTACCGATCATGCGGGTTTAAGAATGGTAGCTGAATGTGTTCCCCCCCGGGCTTGTGCTGGGAAAAATAATGGTCTTAAATTGCTGACCAACTTCTGCAAGACCCACGAAGAGACAACGCAATCGGTTGATGATTTAGCTGCCTCCAGGCTTCTTCATTTTATGAGTCGACCAAATTGTCCTTCAACTTCATTGAATTGTACTTCCTTAAACCCTGCAAACACCATGCTGACTCCGGTTTGATGGGATCCGGCCTGCCAGCGATGACTCAGCACGCGACGACATATTTTGCGCAGCACATTGCTTGCATGTTCACATCAGAATGATTCAGACACCCAGCATGTCATCCAGGCCGGGCAGAAAAGGAGTAAAAAGAAACTATCTGGAGAAAGCTTGCTGGAGAAAAAGCTCCCTGGAGAAAGCTCAAAGCCATGCCTCAATGCCAAGGATGCACCTTGGATAAACAACCGATTCTCTGCATCAATCAAACTAGCAAAGAAACGAACTTCTCAAGAAGGATTCTAAAAGAAGCGGACAAAACTTGAACAAAAGTTTTGAAAGGCTAGCACGAAAATGGCGTCATGAAACTTCAGAAACTTGTAAAAATTCTCAACAAAATTCCAGTTCTAGAACATCTTGCGTCAAGCATGGACCAAAGAACGCGCAAGATTCCTGGTTCGCTGCATGTCAGTACAGTGTCCAAAAATATATTGCGAACGATGCCTTGCTCCTGCATATGAACAAATCTGAACCACTGATCTGCACGTCGACGGATTTTACTCGCCAAGCCTGTAAGCGTTATGTCCCAACAGCGTTGTTCCCTTACATGTTCCATCATCAGCAACCACATTGATCCACACAAGCAATGCCCCGAACATGGGAGAAACCCACCATTAATAGAATTTACAGTCAAGGGTTGAGATTAAAGGTTGTAGAAAGGGTTTTGCCGAAAAACTCTCGCTAAAGGAAGAGCATCACAGAACTCGTTTTCCCCGGCAGGGCGGGAGTCAGAGCTCTGTCAGACTTTCCAGGCAGAGACGTATTGCTCTACTTTGACTGCCATCGTGGCTGTCTTCTGCCACGAGCCCTTAACAGATTGGACTGTAGTGTACTTCTTCGCGATGCTTGTAGGTGTAACAACAATCCATTTAATGAGGTCGACCTTGTCCACCGTTTCCTGATCGAAATAATCCACAAACTGATCCTTCATTTTCTCCACCTTGCAGTCGTGGGTGTCCCTCTTGGTAATTTGCAACAGGCAGAGCACAAAACTGCCATTGTGATCCATCACAAAGAAGATATCCGTGGCAGGGAAAATCTTACTCTTTGGGCAATACAAACAGCCAACCTGCAAACGCTGTTTGGAGATTAGCTTGCCTTCTTTTCTGTGGAGTGTCCTGACAAGGCACGGAACCTGTAACTCACAAGTTTTAAGATCAGACAACGACTTCAATTTCAGAATATAATTCGTGTCACACTGCGTGAGCTTCTGATACACCTCATCTTGGAGAAGGTCTCCAACAAATGTGCCGAGTGCGGGTAGGTCCAGACATGCGTTGATGAAGCGTGGACGTGCTTCTCTGCTTTGGGCATCCAGCTTCTCACGAATCGCTTCACTAACAACGGATGACTCAATGAGCTTCGTAGTCGGTTTGTGAAAAGGAGAAACAGAATGAATCTGCAACAGCAGACTCATGAGGCTTTCTCCGACTTGCATATCGGATGGCACACTCTTCACAGCTTGATGAAGGTTGTCATAGGTGCAGTTGTGAATACTCTGCTGAACCAAATCACGAGCGACATTCGACATGTCACCTTTGGTGCTCAGCAGCTCTCGTAACCAACGCAGACTTCCACCCAGCAGTGAGTGCGCTTGTTTCACCTGCTCGTGAGAAACATGCGGAAACAACTTCTCTCTGTGTGTCAAATACTCCTCCAAGGCCCAAACAGGCATGTAGCGGAGAGTGCTTTCAACTTTTTGCTGTTTGTATGGCGTGTCATAGCTCTTCTTAGATGGTGAAGTGAAAACCATGGTGCAGCCTGCACTACGTTGCTCTATCTGCGCACGTCCATCACCTCCATGAGGATCTGCCAACAGCAAGGTTTGGGAACTTTGAAGAAGCTTGATAGGCTTGGTTTCATAGTGAGCCATGGTTTTCCTACCAATCTGTCGCGACCACCACATGTTACCACGCTGGACAACGATGTGGTACTTCTGCTCTTCAGCAAGGAAGGCTAACATGAAGCCGAGGAACATGGACTTGCCAATTCCCGGTGTGCCTGTCACAATAAACAGTCCGATCTTGTCGTCCTCCGTCTTTTTGTTCAGCCACTGCATTGCCTCATCGTTCATCTGTACATAGCACTCGCGAACGACTAGGTCATTGCCCATACCCTTGTTGCCCAATATCTTGTTGGTGAAGGTCAACTCCTTAGTGTCTTCAGTCCTGCCCCAAGTGCTCGGCTTTGGCTCCATAGCAACAGCCTCTTCCAGCCATTTGCAAAGCTCATCTTTAGGAGGCTCAACCTCAAAGTCAATCAAATTGCAGAAAATTCCTAACTAACCCTTAAAAGTAGGCCAATCAACCAGCTCATTGGGTATTTCATCCGCTTTATTTCTTATCATGCGCAAATCATTTAGAACATGATCTAAAGCAAGGAGTCGGCTGCATTGGCGGACTGAGACCCCCCGATCCAAATCAAATTGCGTTCTTCCTACAACTGCATCACGCACAACGAGGTAACTGCATCATTTGTTTCATCTTGAATTTCAAGTATTTGATCAAATTGTTCATTGTCTATTTCTTCACATCTATGAATTACGTCCCTACATGTACCAGTAGTACCGCACAAGGCGGTGGCGGAAGTTTCAAAAATAGTAAACCTATAGGAGAGATTGGTTGTTGTGAATCACGGACGGCAGAGCGAATCCGCTGATGGACCGAAAGGTGCTTGAGGTCTCTCTTTCTCTTTCTCTTTCTCTGACTACCTACCTACCTATCGATCTATCTCTCTCTCTCTTTCATCTAATTACCTATCCTATCTATCTATGTATCTATCTATCTATCTATCTACCGATCTGTCTGTCTGTCTGTCTATCTATCTGTCTATCTGTCTACCTGTCTATCTGTGGTGCTGTGTCATTCAGTGTAGTGTAGTGTAGTCTAGTGTAATTAGTGTAGTGTAGTGTAGGGTAGTGTAAATGTAGTATTGCTGTTGTAGTTGTAGTTTGCAACTGTGTATAGCACTCGCGTATGACCATGTTTTCTTTCATGCCGTGGAGTCCCAGAATGTCCTGCTCAAAAGTCTTCACCTGGTCTTTTGTCCACTCCTTTGGCTTCATGTCCACAGCCTCGTTCAGCCACAGGCATAGGGCATCTTTAGGCTCTTCAATCCAAAATGCAACTCCTTAAACCAATGAAATATCCAATTAACTTATTCAGGCAACCCTATCAGAAACGAAAAACAAGCCCCAGGCACCTGTTGCGTTTCCACGAGCCCTTCCACTTCAACCATCACTGCAGACGCAATGTCGCTGCCGACACCAGGCGGCACCACTTTGTCCAACTCGAGGTCCGTGTTGTCTGCCTTGCGGAGTTTCACGAGTCGAAGATCATCATCAGCCAGCTTGGGCCTTGCTTTGCGACGCAGGTCGAAACCCACAGCATCCTGCATCACTTGCACATCGTAGACTCTGCCATCGCCATCTTTCAGCACAATTCGGCGCTTGGCAGGAGAGGTCATGGCAAGAATTTGCCAGTTGCTCCAGTTTAGTGTTGGAGATGATGACACTTTTTCAACTCTCCAAGTGGATTGCGAAAACTCCACTCGCTGCTCATTTGGGAAACTGGATTGTTGGCAAGATTTCTCTTAGAGGGCCCCACGCTGTTGTCTCTCACAACCTTGCTGGAAAAACCATGATGCCTAGAGTTGTTCGTTAAAGCCCTAAATCATCATGATGACATTTGGTGTTTGCTTTCTCATGTCATGTTGTATGAGCCGTCGTTGAAAGTCGCAGCACAAGAATTCGCTACGATTTTCATCAAATTCGTTGAGTAGCATCAAATTTTCACGGCTGATCCACATGGATCCCTAGCTGCCCTCATGGAATTCTGCTCCGCAATGTTCTGGAGAAGACACGGGCATGAGGGATTGATGCTAAGCAAAGTTTGTCAACGGGGTGCACTCAGTGTTTGGTTGTCCAGCCCGAGCGTTTTTGAAGAAAACCATGAACGAAAGACTCATGCAGTTTCAGCAAGCGAGAAGGTCACCATGGAATTCAAACATTGAGCCCTCGCCCTTCGCCACACACGATACATTTTTTCTGGGGATGTCGCCAGCCACTTTTTGCCCAACCTAAGGTGAGAAAGGGCGAGAAAGTGCCCAGTGGAGGCAAAATTGTGTTAAATGTTTTTCCTATTTGCTCTAAAAATCCTGAGCAACTTGACACCTTGATGATCCTACACGCTGGCAACAAACACGGCGAAAAGGGGCATCTGCAAAGTTCAGGGCTCTTGGCAGTGTTGGATTCACTGAAGTTGGGTCAAACAGTGCATGTTCAATATGTTTCAATGTCAATGTCACTGCGGTCAATTCGTTGGGCATTCAACACAGGACCGCAACATGCGTTTATCATCCAGGATCAAAAAAAATATTCATGAAAATCCTCTCCATCAAACAATGCTGGACTA